AAGGGTCGTGGAGGGGGAGTTGTTAAGTGTGCCCCAACATCGGCTAGGATAGACTTATTCATGTAGCATGCGGTAGGACGCTTCTCTGAGGATTGCTCTTTGTGCTAGTCAATTGTTCTTCTACTGCGTTTGTAGGTCTAAACTGCGCACCCAACGTTGGGGGGATAGGTACTTTTACACGATCAAAAGTATAAGTACGAGTCACTACCCTACTGAAAATCATAGTGGAGAAGTTAGAAACTTTTCGAATAATAACGAGTTCACCGATCAGTATTTCTAAGGCGAGTTCATCTGTAGAATTCAGTCTAAGTAGTGCCCGATAAGTATGAAATCTTTACGGCAATCTTATGGCCCTGACCGTATGAGGCATTAGACTAGTTGCTTCACAAACATTTTACGGTATCTTGGAGGCCTGCGGAATCAGGGGCATTAAATGCAAGGATACTGTAAACGCCTGATATTCGGTTAGGCGTTATGGGGTATATAGATATTATTAGGTGCTCTTACTTGGGATGGCCGTGGAGAGAGGCTCTGGGTGGTGAGCAAGTGGTTGTGGGTTTCACATTAACTGGATGTTCCTGAGGATCTACTAAAATTTGCTTATGAGTGTCTAGATTTGCGGAAGCCTCATTTATATTGCTTGAATTATGTGGTATCGCATAGTCGCCTTAAGTAATGATCTGGGTGTTAGTTGCACGTTAATTTGGTAAGATTTTACATCGTTGTGGAAATTCGGCGGTGGAGAGTAGTCTAGTAGACAGGTCTAGCTCGACCTCAGGAAGGTTGGAGCTCAGCGACTGTGCTACATTGCTTTATATAGATTGGCGTTACGCTTGTGTTTGATGACTTATGCCTTTTGTTTTAGTAAGCAGAAGCTTTGCGGTATGCGTTACACCTTTAATCATTATTGCAGCGTCACTGGGTTCTACTATATTAGTGGATGGGGCATTATTTACACTTGTATTCAGGGTTTTAGGTTGGGCACTGGTACAAGCCTTCTTGTGCTTTGAAGGCTTTGTAGGTATTCTTGTGATATGGTTTGGCATTTCAGACTGAGGGTACCGGTTTTTAGTAATGCTCCGTTCGTATTAGATTCTGAGCTGTTACAAAGAAGAGCTACGCCACCTATCTTGACTTCGCTATCACGAGCAGGTTTTATTTGGTGACTGGTTGCGGTACCCATGCTAGTATACAACTCAGGTAGACTGTCAGTGGACGAGGCAATGGCTATGCCGCAAGATGACTTCCGAAGGCTCACAGAAGGTGGCAACAGACGACTTTGACCGAGTTGCCTTTGCAGAGGCCTTTTATTGGTAGTTATTGTGATGGGAGTATACACTCGAACGAACGGGCGGTGCCAGCCCATCAAGGAAGCCGTTAGGCTGCCGCAAGGAAAGGCGGCAGTCGATTGGACGTTCACACGTTTCTCGCATGCACGTTGATTGGCCAACAGCTGGACGCATTGGAGTGAGCTTGTTTGACTGAATCAAAGGAAAAATGTCATGCATTCACAAAGGTCGTTAATTGTGGATCCAACTAGCTGTATATACCGATATGTTTCACTCGCCCTATGCCTGCGTTTTCGCCTGGTCCTTTTGTTTGCAGAACATACGTTTTGTCCCTGAAGGACCGACTTTTTACAGTTATCCTTAGTGTTTGAAGGTGGTGCTTCCTGTTATATACGCATCTTTTGTTTTAAACTTATTTGCTAGTAATGAATTACTGAATCGAAGAAGCAAGGGACAGCTTTTGATGAGTTTTCTTGCTGAGCCTTATACAGTCGCATCAGCTGCCTTCCATATTACTCGCCTTAAGCAGGATCTTTGTTGTGCTCCCGCAGGCAGTTTACCGAGTAGGTTAAATGATTTTGCATCTTTCGAACATCGCACTTTTAGAAACCTTAGTTAGCATAGTTTACCGGAGGACCATGGCAAGCCTAAAGTGATCCATCTTTAGGTTTACCTTCGTTTGCAGCCGTACAGTCAGGGGTACAATTGTTTGGACGGTTGTAGGCAAATAGGAAATAAAACCTAGGTTTATTTCGGGCCAATCCAGATAATCGTGGATAGACTTGAATTTGGTAAGTGTGTCAATCAACGGGCAAATCTGTTTACCTGCTTTATTTCTCAGCCTAGATGGCTTAATGGATTTTGGAAAAATTGGGGCCCTAGCAGCTGCGGAAGTTTGCTGGAAAAGCGTGGCAGTGCATGTACATGCCCATATAAGCGACTGTTACAGGCTTTGGACGACTAGTGCTGATTCAAGGTAGGGAAGAAGGCTATAGGGTTTTTCTAAAGAACATAACCTGGGCTCCAGCAAACACTACAAATACGGAGTATTAAGGTGAAATAACGGCCGTTCCCGAATTGTACAGTCTGGGGCGTTCAGATCCCGCGTCGGTAGTCGCTTGAGACACCGTTACGCATCTCGTGTGAGTTCTCGCATTTGGAGGTTGATAGCTGGGTTAGTTTTCATGGCTACCTTTGTTGCTAATAGCCACAAGTACCAAATCAACGAAAATGTCTAGGCGTGCACCCAGAAATTAATACATAGCGGTATATTTCTAGACTTGTTAGATGCCGTGTCCGCAAGGGAGCAAATCAGTATTTACAAAAAGCACATGCTCTTGCATGAGGAGTGAAAACAGTGAGCGTATAGGTATCTTGTTCGCAATTATGTATACGAGACCTTTTTAGGTCTACATTTGAAGGTGTTGTACGCGTTCACAATGCAGTTCAACTAGCTTCTTCAGGCAACTTTGTGTTTCTTGATTTCATTAGTGGCAAAATGTCGTACAGAGCCGCATTGGTGTACTTTTTCTTTGTATGCAGGATCCATTTCTTTACGAACTTTCCTAGAATTTCTTTGGACTTGAAATTCACCTGGCTATTTCATGGGACCTTTGTTCTCCTTGATTTTATTATTGGCAATGTTTGCTTAGAGCCGTAATTGTGCACGTTTTCTCTGAAAGCAGCGTACAATGCTGCTTGTTGCTACGAAAATCTCATGTGGAACATCCCGGAATAAACTGTATAAGGGCGCTTGACCATAGCCTTTCATGGACAGAAAGATGGAAGAAGCAGATAACCATTGCCCAAAGTGTGCCCCAGTCTCACAGGCACCGCAAAAAGACAACAGACACGAAACCCTGGTGCCGTAGACGCGTCGAATACGGCAACTTCAAGGGAGTTCTCCAGGCAATGCATATGTGTTCACCGCCGTTTCAACCATAATCGGGTGGACAGGCAGAGGTTTGTAGACACATTCAAGAAAGCTCTTCTCTATACATCCCTTCCCTTTGAGTACATAGAGTAAGTAATCGACAGAGTTTTTCCATGTACTGGCACCGAACGGTGTGTACCCAGTAGAAGTAATGGTAAACAGGAGGCTACGCATGCCAATGGATGACCTTCCGCCTACCCCAAGATGTTTATATGATGAAAAAGATCGAAAAATAGTGTGAGAATTCAACGAGCGAAACGGAGCAAAACAAGGCCCATTCAATTCCTGAGATTCAGTGCTCGTATGTGAGTACCGGAAGGGCTACGCAGCACGTACTTCAGGTGAAATCAAATGCAAACTTAAGGATGTTATCTATGATCTGAGCACTGAATGGAAAACCTCGGTCCACATGTGAATCACCTGCGCCCAACGCTGGCAGTCGGAAACGAGCAAGTAAGCTAAGCTGACATTCTACCTCCTTGTAAGTCACCAACTTACCGTAGGACGATAAGAAAAGTCCCAATCAAGCACGGAATGTAGCCAATAGTCCAGAGGACTCTCCGAAGACATTACAAACAAGCTAATAGGCAGATAGACTGGAAAAGCCGTTTTTAAAACCAAATTATATACCGCAGATGTGATGTCGAGAGAAGTGAAATCTCCAAGAAAAAGGTACTATCTCAATGAGAAAACGATTTGAGCCAATGGTATGCAGCTGAAGCATAGTCAGTTACCAACATCCAGGTCCATCACGCGACGTGCGACCTAATTCCCTATCAATCGTGATCGTTCATATACTGCCAATTTCGGCAATTGTCCTTGACTATTTCAGAAGCGAACACTCCTGGATGACCTGTAAACATCTGAAGATTTTGACACCACTTTATTTAAGGCTGGGATTAGGAGTAAGCAGAAAAGAAGATCAGTTCAACCGGAATTGCACAAAAGAGAGATTCGGCGAAATGGGAAAAAACGGGTAGACTCTTGGATGGGCATTATGATGAGTAATGCACTAAGCCATCCCAAGATTTGTTGGAATAAGGTTTCCTGGATCAACAGTATTTCACTACAAAAATGCGGTTTCCGAAACGAGCCATTGTGACTTCAAAGCTTAGTGGTGCATATTACACTTGGCTAAGGGTCATGAAAAATAGCGAGAGTAACGTCCCCGCATCGTTCGCAGCATGTGTAATGAAAAGGAGATTAAGTGCTCATATGGAAAGCACAAAAGAAGAAAAAGGTTGAAACATGTAGCAGATATCTACAAACAACAAAAGTTGGTATGAAGTCACATGCTATAATGCGGACGAGAAGTGTATTCTCGTGATGTACTTAACTACAGTGGTTTGCAGTGCATATCAATACTGGAGGAGAGATTAAGTGTCACGGACCTTATCGTGGCAACTGGAGCCTGGCTAACATAGATTGTGGATTCGTCTATCTTAATACTCACACCCATCGGCATCACGGAAAAGCCAACGAAAGCAAGGGCGAAATTCTTCAGATCGATAGCGCAACTAGCTGTAGTGATGAGCCTAAGGACAGATGAGCTGTGCTCTCAAATCAATGTCAAACGCTGCGGGATAGCGGAGCCCAGCGTTCATTTCAGCGTGACGAGAGGGGACAGCATGAAGAGACTGGGTCAGAAGACGCAGATTACCAGCAAGGAAGAAAGCCAAAGGGCCTACAAATGCAACAAGTCACTGACAACACTGCACGTATAAAGCGGAGTGACGGATGATAAGCTAGTTACGATAAAAAGAGATAAAAAAATCCAGTGAATACAAAAATTATATTGTAGCAAAAAACGGAGAATAAAAGTGATACAAAGAAGCAATACAATTACACAAAGCACATTTAAAAGTGTATCCTAAATTCGAACAGTTAGATCCAACCCAAATGCTTTGTCTACAAAACAGTTGAGGAAGCGGTCGTTTTCGGTAGCACTGATTAGTGCTCAGATAACTGCAATGGAAAACGGAAGGTGTGGGTAAGTAAACGAGACGGAAGCAACGTAGCTAAAAGTAAGATGACCGGAAAAGACACGCAAAATCTTTAAATCTCGCTGTTACATCGACGTGTATAAAGCATCTCATGAGAACGCAAACGTCTTTGAAAGCAGTGAAATGGGAAACTAGTGCCTCAAGGTAATGGGGGTCGGGATTCTCCTTGCATATATCTATGTACATAGGGAACCGAGTCGTAGGAATATGAACCAGTGCCAGTTAGACTCACACACTTTGTCATAATCAGACTGAGAATATCATGCAGAAGATTAAAGCTTGGTTGGAGCTGAAGAAAGTAGATGCAAATAATTCGTTTAATAGGATCTGAACCGAGGGAAGCAACAGGAACCCGAAGGGAAACCAATCGTATGGCGAGTAAGGAATATAATATGATGCTATTCAAAGAAACGCGTAAAATGACTCAGTTTGGTGGAACCAATCAGGAAACAAACAACCAAATACGGACACACCATTTAGGTTAATCCAATCAGCTAAAGATCTGTGGATAAAATAGGTGGAGTGGGTCCAATTGCCATGGCCTACCAGGCTATGATAGCGAATGCCAACAATAGTGGATGACAGGATGAGAAAACGCCCAAACAGATATAAATAAATAAATTGTATATTCCTCAACGATGCGAGAAGTGTTCAATAAAAGGAACAGATCAACTAATGGCACAACCTTTCCATGACATTGCATTAATACTTTTTCAGTAATAAACATGGGCGCGATTGCAAATTAGGCAACACAGAGTAAACAGAATCGTTCTGATATTTTTTCCTGCCATGGAATCAGGATTCCTTACAACCACATGACAGATGTTTGGGCCAAGAAAAAATGTAATGGAAGGGGCTGTTGTCCGAAATGTTATGTGCGTTTCGAAAATGCATTCAGACACCATGGATAACGTTTTCGAATGCGTTATCTAGAGACTGTGATGTCCCGAATATCTCAATAACGTTTTGGAAGGTTAACTACTTATTAATTGCAAGCTTAAAATTGCAAAGTGTCGAGCATTTTCTAATATCACTTGAAAGTTTGTTCCAAATCTTTGAGTAGTGGGTTAGAAAGAAACCTTATGTGATTCTCATAATCAATTTTGGAATCATAACCTTTATCTTTTTGTTACGGATTGGATAGCTGCTGTTTAAAGAGATGTGAACACCGTTATCAAGACTGCGAATTCGACAGTTTATGGTTCTGTAAAGAAAACATAGATTCAGCTTTATTCTCCTAAGCCAAACTGAGTCAAATCCACGTTTATCACGTCGCTCTCTGTATGTCAACTTTGAGGAATATCCACATCACTTTTTCGTGAAGCGTCTCTGGACCCTCTCAAGAGTATGCTGGTCAGATTTCCGCAGGTTAAACTGAACCACTGCACAGTATTCCTTACACACCAATACATACGTTTTGTAAAACCATATGCGAGATTCCGTGAGGTAAAAATGATGGCAGATATAACCGATGGTCTTCATGGCTTTCGAAACCTGAAAGTCACAATGTTCAGAAAAGTTAAAAGTGACTGAATAGCTCAAGACCAAATCACGAACTGCATTGCATTGCGAGACATATGCGCCCTGTCGTAATAGACTGTCTGGCGGTACTTGGCATTTGTATGACGAAATATTACACTTGTCCACTGTAAATAACATCTGCCACAGTTGGCACCAGCAGTCAAGTGCAGATAGGTCATCTTGAATGAGACGTACGACTTCCTGGGTATTTGCACGCGATTGTGGGTAGACAAATTTAATGTCATCAGCAAAGATAACTGTTACACCATCTCTTCTTCTCTGGAATATATCGCTACTATATATTAGAAAATGAAGCTGACCAAGAACACTTCCTTGAATCACTTTACTTGTGATTGCTTTCGGTTTAGAGAAATGGTCGCCAATGCGCACCATCACAACCAATTAGATAGGAAGACAGCCAAGCAAACATCGATCCTCCAATGCTTAAAGCCATCAGTTGGTACAGTAAGCCTCTGTAAGACACTCAAAGGCTTTTTGCATATCCAGGAACAGGATTACTACACGGTTTCCGTTGTCTATGTCAACCGTTGTGTGGTTTAAAAGTGTCTGGCATGTTGCGCAGGATCGACCTTGCATGAAGCCGTGTTGTGAATTGCTGTTAGTCTTGTTCAAGAATACAAATAGTTCATCTTTCACTATCCTTTCTAGTATTCTAGATACGATGAGTGTGTGACTGTTGGTAAGAAAGCCGTTAACCCCGTGGGCGGCGTCACTTTTGTCTCGCGGGATAAGAACCGAAGCTTGCCATTGAGTATGGTATACTCCGTTGTTAAAAGACAGTGCAAAGATGTTGAGCAAAAGCAGAAGGAAGTCACTACCACTGCATTTTATTAAACAAGGAAGATCCCATCAGAGCTTGTGCGAGTTGAGGAGCATAAGCAAGAGACTTGACCACTGATATTCGCTATAGTGAATTCCATTGTGCATAGACTTTCATTGTTATGCGGCATGATAAGTGCTGGTGTGTCTGATGATTCATTGACCATTGATTCGGCAGAAAAAGCACTGAAAGCTTCGCAGATATCAATCACCTAGTGCGTCGAAGTATGTTCCATCAAGCATGATGATAAAATTGAAATTGTTGGAGGTAGGCCAGCGGCGTATTCAAATGCATACGTCAATAGTCCTAGGTCTTCTTGGCTGCAGTTTGGCGCGCTGTATATACATCCCATAAGCAGCTGCTGATGAGTAACAGATATCGTAAACCATAGTGATTCCTGGACATCGTTCAGTATTGGGTTCTCGAAGGTTGCTGCTGCGAGCGATTTTCTTCAGATAAATTACACAGCCACCACCTTAAGGATTAGGCCAATTTCTCATAAACTTGTCATATCCGAAAATAGTTGACTGGTTGTCATGGCACCAAGATTCAGTTATAAATATTATATCAGGATTATTCATGAAAACAAATGAGCGTAGTGTGTGGATCTTAGAGTGAATAGAACGAATGAGAACTGAGAACTGGTGCGAAGCAGCGAGTAGAGTTTGCTCTGTGTAGCTGCATCATTCGTCATTTTCAAACATGATTTCTTAGGTAAAGGTATCGATGAAAAGAATGATGTGAAACGCGGAGCCGTTCCGAGGCTATTCGTCCGCCTTAACATGCAAGGAACGCGACTGACCCGCACAAACACTGAGATCGGTCGATCTATGCACTTATTTCAACAACAGTATCTCACCTTGCCGAGTAGGACACGGAGCGTTGATAAGTATGCTGGGAAACCAAGAGCTGAGTGTGCAATGGTGCCATGCATTCAGTGTGACTGCACAGATCAACAGCACGAATGTCGCGCGCTATAGAGATGGAGAAATTTGTCATCATGGGTCAACGGTTCTGCGTAACGTAGGTTACTTCGGATGGGATTATAGGATGGATAGTGTCAGGATCCGTTTGTGTTTGACAACGAACCCGCTGGCACCGTACTGCACCGCTTGTCGTATCTAAACCGGAATACGTTGACTAATTGACATTCTAAAGACATGTTCCAATTACATACCTGGAAGTGCACTTCAAATTAAGATTGCGTCTGACCGGAAGAAGCCCCAAGACTAGCCAATAACAGCAAAATATCATTAAAAAATAACCTGAAGGATCTCTAAATAAAGCTCCCAACATCGGGTCCATAGAAGACTGTAGATCTTCCGGTTTCGATCTGCCGCGACTATCCCACGGTAGATCCTTAGTTATTCGTTCTACATTGCAATTTGTACCCGTGGAGTGCATGCCTCTCCTATCAAGGTTTGTGCACTGATACTGTTCTTTAGAGTCTATTGGCTGCGATAACCATGGCATGGGTTGTGCTTCAGTGTTCTGATTGCGACTAGGAATGAACTGCATAGAAAACCGAAATCTAAGCGACAAAATACTGAAGAAATAGAATATAACGTGAGAGAACAAATAAAACAGTTTGTTGAACAATAAAAAACGGTATCCACGATGTTCAATTTGAGCAGGCTAAAAACAAGGTATGGCGATTTGGGTTTACTGAGGGTCAAATTGAAGAGGCCACGTCGACCAATTACCTCAGCCCTGATTGTATTTTGAAAGGGCCCAGTTGTGGGCAAACCTCAATGATAAGTGGCTTTGGCTTGCATACATCTCCTTACATACGAAGGTATAATCTTGGATTCACAAGTTCGCAACACACCACTGTTATAAAATTTAAAGCACACCCACTACCACCACATCACAGTCCCACAATTCAAGTATCACCCAAGGGGTTAAACAAACAACTAGCGCGTCCAGCCCAATTGCACGTGACAGAACCCATCAGGTTTCCTTGGTCTTGACTTAAGCCAATCAGGTAGTCAGGAAAACGCGGCATCAGCATGTAAAATGAGGAGCTCGGCGTGTTGTACGTAAGAGGGACGTGTTCGCATGTAACAAAACTAATAAAGAGGAGAAGCAAAAGAAACCTGATGATCACTCCGAGTTCAGCTGGTTGATAATAAACGAAGTCAATTGGTGAAAAATGCACCGCACGACAAAGTAAGAGTAGAATCTCTCGGCTCCTCGCCGACTGAGGGCCACTGACTGACATAACAAACGGTGTACAAGTGTATCGACTGAAAACGCACCTCAATGGACACCCCGATCTTTTTCCAGTGACCACAATGGGTTGGCCTCCAGATCGTCTGGGACGACTTCAGGTTGGAAATCAGATGGAATTGTAAGTGGGTCAAGTTCACCAGTTCTCAAAAGCACCGTATGTAAAAGAAAATCCAGCAGTTGAACAATTTGATACGCAGATGGCCGAGACTGAGGGTCCTCGGACCAGCCCCTGTCGGAACCAACCGGATAGGTGAATACAAATGCAGAAGGGGAAGAAGAGACCAAAGTAGAATATGAAATGCAAGAGGTACTGGTAAAGCAACAGACGAACAGAGGTCCAAAAGGAACACTAGTAAGTAAAAGTGCCTGTATTTTAGCCATTAGTTCCTCGGGCAGTACACCACTCACCATAATGTAACCGGCAGCCATCGATCATGAGCAGTCTAATACAAGGTAATGTATACCAACGAGGATGCAAGGAACAATGGGATCCTGAGTCGGGAAACGAGGAGTTTAGACGTTCACCGAATGCTCCATCCAATACACAATTAATAGAAACCAAAGGAATATGAATATGGACCACCGTAGAAAAGTGTGCTAATGCAATATGGTGTCGAGAGTTGAGGAATTGCTCAGCAATCAGGTGGAAGAGATAAGAAACGTAAAAAAGCGCATTCGTTGGTCTAAACTTCCACCTTATTGGTGGTGGAAGGAAACGGTCAGCTGATGATATAGTAGGAAAATATTTCGTTAATCACGGTGAATCGTCTAAGTACAGCGAAACTAAGCTTAAAGGATAGTTAGAAAGCATCACAAACGCTGCAGCTCCACGATGAACGAATTAAAATCCTCCTCTCGCAAAAATGGCATAGTATAGTCGCGTTGGAAGCCAAAGCAGTGATGCAGGCATTAGGCAAGTGGCACCACGTGCGGACTACCACGTCACGGAAAGATGCGCCACGGGTCATCGGCTTTTTACTGCATGCATGCATCGTGCATCTGAAAAAGCGCTCGGCGACGGTTTCAGCTCAGCCAGCTCCTTCGAATGAAGTGGGATCTGAGTCCATGACTGTCTTCTTACAGGGCAACGACTTAAGCTATTGAGTCAAGAGGCGGAAAGTGATTTGCAACGAATGATTATCAGCTGTGAAATTATGCGGCAGATTCTTCTCTGCCATGGCGGTTGCTACGTATCTAGGAGGTGATTGGAGCCATTTGTTAGACTTCTACAGAAGTCTAGCAAATGACGTATGTCAACAGAGACTCCGTGTTACAGAAAGATGTGATAAAGGCCAGTAACACACACGTTCTTAGCTGCGAGTCTGTTGACTGCTAGTCGTGCATGACGAAAATGCACATACCAGATAAAACACTAAGACAAGCGAAGAACAGGTAATTAAATACACGGGCCCATTGCATGATTCGTCAGATAAAAGTCTGAATACATTTGGTGCGGTAAATTAGTCGGTAAAGCGCAAAGCTCGTATACTACCCAGATGTGTCAAAGAGACGTTGGGGAGTTGATTACTATAACCGCTGCCCGAACTATTACCAAATTGATGAAACGAAAACAAACGATCAACCCCGAACGCTTAGAGCGCACGCCGCTGACATGGAGCGGTAGAACATTCAGTTCCATTGGTTGAGAGAACAGAAGAAATTCGGCAGTTAGGTGCAAGTATCAAATGTGTGAAGTGCGAACAATGCATCAAACAAGCGAGTGTACCGTTCATACAGCTCTTGAAGTAGTGGTGGACAGTTCAGCAGTTTGCTGGGACGCTGCCGAAAGATGTTCCAAAAGCTGGTTTTGCCGAAACTCTGACCTGATGTTTGTTCGTAAGGACGTCGACGAGCAAGCAGTTCCCAAAAAGTAATCGACAAACTGTATACATCACATTTGTCGGTGTACTCCAACTGATCTCCTGAAAAGTGAGGATGTTGAGAACAGAGGGAAATCCGGGGTATAATAGAAAATAAAAGTGGAGTAATCATTTGGAGGACCAAAAATGAAAGAACCTAATTCTGTGGTATCCGTTAGTCCGTAGCATGCTCTGGAAAATGTCCAACGATCATTTACCAAGCTGGTCATGGGGGGCGCTGCTCAAACCTAACTTTTTATGATCGCTGTCGAAAACTCCAGCTGGATGCACTTTGGCTGAGAGGCTTAAAGAACAACCTCGTTCTCTTCTACAATATTATAAACCAACGAATTTACGCAGACAGCATCGCACTTGAACTACGGAAGACTGCAGTCTACCCCACACGTAATGGCGGCTACTTGATCCGTACAAACCTTTCAAGTCATAAAATTCGGTCGAGTTTCTTCTTGGTGAGATACACTTATCTGTAGAACAAACTACCCCTACAGATACGCATGTGTACAAGCCATGTCACGTTTCGAAGTCTCCTTCAGACCTTCCTCCCTATACCAAATGCTTTGAAGATATTTGACTCACAGCAAACACTAGAAACGTTGAGAGAAGTTGGTATAAAAAACATATGAGAAGATAATCGCTTACAGCTAGCTTACCTACTACGTGTCATTACATACCATACCAAATCCTGTGTCTTTGCAGCCTAGTAGTCCCTCCCGTTATTATCTACTCCTGACGATACAAACATCTGTAAATTTTACATATGAGTTGCTCGGGTCTAGGACTCAAGGAAAAATAATCATGATCCGAAATGCTATCAAACAAAACTTTTCTTTAATGTTATGAAACGTATTCACTATACAAATGATCGCGCCCACTTATGGGGCCGCGTACCGTCCGTCGGTAAATATACAAATTTATTTATTTATTTACATGGGACAAATGTCACGCGAGTGCAAAATAAACGACTGAAGGAGATTACAGGCGTACCGAATGACTCTACTCCAATACCGAGATGTTTTAGGCGAAAAACGCCTTGTGTAAAGCGCACTATACACGGTGCGCGTCGAGCAAGCGAATGCATGTCAGTGAGTACGCCACTAAACCGATTGGTCACATGACGTGTTCTTACCTGGGAGCCGAGTAATAACACTCTGGAATGAAGCAAATACCCCGCCATGGTGGATTCAATTCGGAAACGTGCATTCGCAAGGCCGCCTAAATGGGAATTGGGTGAACGCACCCCCAATGCGGACGAGCGATTTCACACGGCATCGACACCGAAGCGAAAGGACTGAAACGGATGCCCACCTGTGCGTAAATATGCAATTTCTGGAGCTGTGTACACACACGTGTCTGGCCGGCGATCAGACGTAATACCCAGTGGTCCAGCGGATCCAAAGTCGCCGAGTTTCAGCAGACGGCCGTGATCGAACAGTAGCATGTTAGCTGGCTTCAAGTCACCATGACATACAGGTGGGGAGCAGACGCGATGTAAGTGATCGGCGGCTTTGGTAGCATGGAGCATCCAATTAATCGCGTGTGCTAACGAGTACTTTACGTCGAGAAATTGATGTAGCACTGGAAATGAGGTAAAGAGGGGCAATAAAGGCATAAATATCAATGAGGGTTGGGACAAGACTTCGTTTACAGCGGTAAACTCGCAGAACGATGAGAAACATTGAATGGAACTGTTGTGACGCGCCCTAGTTGTTAGACTCTTATTTAGAACGGACGAACATTCTTCACATATAGTAGCCAATCAAATACGTAACAAAGCCGACTAAGGAGAACTAGCCACCAGACGTGCAAGGAGGTGAGACTTGAGACGAATACGCGCAACCTAGCACGACTGCACTGAGACCCGAAGGAGAAACGCTGGCCGTTGGCAAGAGTTGTTTTATTGACTCAGCCAAGGTGAAGCATGTCATATACACGTTCATTTTTAGGGCTCAACTGAATAGCATAAACTATCAAGAAAAGTGGATGTTGGCAAGACACATGGTCTGCCGCCCAGTGCTGGTGTACTGAGGGAGTCTCAGCTGGTGTCAGTTTGCGCGGTAGATGTTGCAGCAACTGAGGAGCTCAGATCATTCACTGCTCCTCGACACGATAGATACAGTAGTGTCATGGAAAGAGTTCAGTGGGTTCACGGCAGCATAATAAGTGTCCTGAGTAGAGCTCAGATGGTTCTTTGTGGCTTGGCATCTACGTCCGTCGTTGCTAGCGCAGTCGCCAAATAGTGATTGTATGGCTGGGTGAACCCCGCGAAATCTGGGCAGAATACGAAGAGCTATGTCAGATCCGTAACAAAAAACTACTATCTCATCAACACGAAGAGCAGAAAGAATGCAACCGACGACATAAAATCAACCAAATTAAGGTAGAAAATGCCGTTTCTGAGGTCGGTGATCGATGTGACTGAGAATAACCCTGTGCTGTGGTAACGCGTGCGGTGTAAAATGATACGTCACGACAGTTCGCAATCAGGGTTCCAACCGCGTCTACATTATCCGTCACGTCTGATTCATCGGAAAAAAGCACGCTATGTGGGAGCTCAAATACATGGAAAGCGAAATCCAGCACATCTCCAGATGTGTGTTAGCTGTAAAATCGAATCGCGCTGTGAGGAAACAATCTGATAGTAAAACCATTTGAGCGATACAAACAAAAAGTACTAGGCGGCGAGTCTACGTCCCAATTTTTACATCTTCCGTGTTAATCAGAAAGTTCGCTGGCGCGTAATACAAGCAAGAATGAGTAGATTGTTGCGCCTTGCTATAATGGGATACTAGCATAACTTGCCAATGTTGCAGTCCCAAGTACGCACAGATGAAGGAGAGCTGTAGTCATGCCACCAACAATGTTTCTACTAGAATGCAAGGAGCTCTAATGGCATTCAAATTAGACAGTTGCCAGAGCAGGGAAAACCAAATATTCAAACCGTTAGTTACACAGGGATTCTAAGTCGAAGGTGAAACACTAAGTTAAACAAAACAGGCATTCATGTGCCTTCCAGAGAAATCTCGGCAAGATGAAAAAGAAGGCAGTCCCGTGTTACCGTTCAAAGTGTGAATCAACCTATCGTTACAGTTCCAAAGTGGAGGCAAGCCTAAGCAGGCAAAGAAGACACCTTGGGTGCTCACAATTGACTGACCTGTATCTAGAGAGTGGTTCTCCGCCAACTCCACAACATAAAACGTACACTCATTTGGAAAATTTGGTCCAGCAGCGAAAACATCGGCGACATTCGGATGCATGTGACATTTCGCGTGAAGTAAAACTTGGTTGATGATACGGGGATCGCTATCACAAACGAGCGGGTTAAATGACTTTATGGCGACCTTCCGACCTCGCCAGACACATTGGTGAACAATACCAAAAGATCCGATAGAACACAGTTTCTGAGAAGGAATAAAAACTAGTTCGAAGAGGTGGTACTTACACCAGTCCTGAGGAGGCAGGTGTATTCTTCCTGAGAGATGTTTGGAAGAAGACAGGAGTCCTGAGTGGAGCAAGGGTCCATTTCAACAGACACAGGTAGATACAAATCCCAAATTGAGTACATACATCATTTCAAGACTGCCGCATTGGAAGATCCATAAAGCAGCGAATTCTAGATAAAAAAAAGTGAATTGGGAACTGAAAATATCGGCATTTAATGAAGAATAAAAACAATATTTTGTTATTAATAAAGGGATTTGATGAAAGATGATCCACAGAATGGGTGGTAAAACGAAACCCAAAGCATGCATACATTCTGAGGCGATAAAAGGTATTTTGAACTCAGCACTCGACCCTGACAACTAAACAAACTATTAAGATGACTTGAAGACAAATACTTCCGCGGTTATTAGGGCAGAGGCTCGACTTTTACCAGCAGCCTAATGGTTGGTAAAACTGGATAGTTTGAAGGGAAATGAGATGTGATGTAACTAGTGGTCTACCTAAGATATAAAGTGAAAATGAAACCTGCGTACTGAAGTGTAAGTGACCAGGAAGGTGGGACCTAATCGAGCTTCGAAACCTGTGTACGCAACGATTGGGAGTGTGGGTGCCGATCTGCATGAAAGAATACTCAGCGCCCAGGTAAGATATGCAACGACAGCACACAATGTGAATGGCGACAAGCGAACCGGAGGATGCGTACCCAGAATGGAGTATGGTGAATTTAAAGTCACAGTGTACAAGGCCTTAAAGATCCCAACAAAGTACGACAGTAAAATGACTGTTCAGTTGCTAAGCATAGGCTGCAGAAGATACAAGTCTTCAAATCCGTGGAAAATTCGATTTCCGCCGTGACTCCGCATTCAGTGGTAAATTAGAGGCACGCCGGGGTTTCCACCACCAAATACAACTTGGAAAGGACAGTAGTAAATTCCTATTCCGCGCGTCATACAACCCTGTTACAAGAAGAAATATAGGCATCAGCAGTACGTCAGTACGCAGTACCGAAGCTTTGCTGCCGCGCAACCACTAGCAGTCGGATGTGCGCTAAGGATCCTGCGAGGATCGCCCGGTCGCTACGAACGCTCGAACATGCGTCGACAGATTACAAGGCAGGCTTGTGATCCTTAAGGCTACGGGCCGTTATAGAGTTAACTGGGTAAAAAGAGGGCCACCACGATCGACTAAAACCAACCATACGATTTTTACGTACTAACGTGAAAGTTCAAACGCTTGATTATACCAAAGGGCTAGCTGTCAGGTGAGCGACACTGCAGATGGCACAAAAGACAGTTCAGCCCAGTGCATCAAAGTCCCCGCATCGAGGCGCGGTGGATTGTTGTTAAAATAATAATAACTAAAAAGTAATGAGTAAGGAATAAAGTAATCGTATGGGGATGCTATGGGCCAGAAATAAGGAAACGAATCTCAAAATCGTCAGTGACTCCGTGATTGTGATCTGTACGGCAGGATAACAAACTTTGAATACTGAAATTAGGGAGATGATAGGGATACAGCACCTGTGTTGTTCAACAACATATAATCCGGCAACCACACAGTGGGAACGGTGACTTTTACTACTGCACAATTTCAAATCATTACAGTTATGCGAGGTCTCACTCAAGTACGGTGCGCTCCCGAAAGCTGTAATCCGCAAGTAGGCGTTTAGGAATTCCTTAAATTCCGGCACTTTGGCTACTGTCTTGAGTAAACTGTTCCAATATTTCACCACCGGATGCTCGAAGCATATAGAAAGAGCTACACGCTTCAGGCGAGTACCACAAGCTTGTACAGGTGTCAACGAGTGCTGCTTGGTGTGCGCACGATTAGAAGCGACCTCAGTATAGGGAAATCATCCAAATATCATACCCGATGTGTCAGAATGAGGTCAAACATAAAAGGACGAGAAAATAGGGTACACAACTCCAGCCGGCTGCATTAGTTTTTCTACGACATGCCTTGTAAACTAGGAATGAGCCCAGCAACGACACATTAAAACATTTCAGTCTCTGTACCTTGCCATGAGCGATCGTACAGTAGGTGGGTGAGCCGTATTCGAGTAGTAGTCTTGCTATGGAAGAAAATAGTTGAGTGGAAATCTCTTCAAACCCAGTGCAGAAGCTGCAAGTGAGCATCCAAAGAATGCGAGGTACGTTTTCATGTAGCTTGGTCGGACTTGTAATCGCAGGGTGAGAGTACACCCAGGCCCTTCACGGAAAATGTGAGATGCAGAGGTTGGCTGGTCAGAGTATATATTAGCCCATCACCATGCTTATAAATGACGACTTGACTGGGTTGAATAGCGGAGCGACATCTGCAGACTATATGGACAGGCGATCGAGGTTATACGGAAGTGCACCACAATCTTCGGGAGCATCAACAACTCTCTATAAGTTCAAGTCGTCTGCGAACAACGCAAGTGGCAACCGAAGAAGTTGAAATACCTCATTGATGTGAATCAGAACAAAATGGGCCACAGCACTGCGCCTTGGAAGACCCCAGTGATGAAAGGATATTAGTTGGTTAGATGACCATCCATTTCCGCTCAATAAGGAGTTCGATGAGCCACTGGTGCAGTGAGCAACTTACACCGCACTGAAACCATTCATGCTACGTCACTGGCAAATTGCTGATGCATGAACGACCTTTAAAGAACCCGCGCTGCGTCGGCGTCAAGAAGTCTTTCGACTCCAGCAACTGTAGTAAACCTGACTTCACGATATTTTCTAGCACATTGGCCAAAACAGAGGTCAAACAAGTTGGTCGGTAGTTTCCCACCTTGCCTGAGTCACCGCCCTTCGGAATAGGATTCACAACATAGCATTTCCAGCCGCTCGGTAATGCACCTACGTAGAGCGACCTGTTGAACAGATCAATCACGGAAGGGGCTTGGGAATCAGCGGGCGGAGCACGTTAGGACCGACAGGCTTCGTGCTGTCAGCAACAAGTAGATTGCGTTTATCAGCCACGCCACAATCCACGCTGTCCAGTACGGTAGATGATGCACAACTCTAACTTGGCACACATGGGCAACAAAGGGGACGTAGTCTCAGTGCTATAAGTAGGGGCTGTCCGTCAGGACCTAGAACATCGTTTACAGACTTCAGGCGTCATTTTAACCAAAGGAAGATTCTCTTGGGAGCCGTCATCGCTGCGGCTACAGACTGTTCCTCGAACTGTTCACACTTCTTTGCTTTTTTGATGCTGGCTAAACTCCGCTGTCTCGTGTTCACCATGTAATCCAGGGTAAAACCAAACAAGATGATTTTATTCTAAAATATGCGCCGCCATCGATCTAACTGATCTTACTCCTAGTCGAACGATTGTGGCTTCGCTGGCCCAACTTTCTGATAGTTGAGGGGTATGGATTCAGTGCACGACTCTACACCCCATTTTATAATAGACCAACAGGCTTCAGCGGATGAATCCTGCGGCAGCAACCAATCCACTTGACTAGGAACTGGAATGAGACCATCGAAATTAGTTTTGGCTTTTGTGAAAGCAAGGCAGTGACAGCTCTGGGATGGCTAGGATCATTGAACGATCACTTACTGATCATGGTCCCAGGAGCAGTAAATCATAAACACGCTGTTCGCAACTAGTCAAATTCAGGTCCAAGCACGGCGGCACCGAGTGCGATGTAATGCACGTCAGATGGCATCGTCATCATTATACACATTAGCTGCAGGTGTAAAACACTATAGCTATCGTGGCGCAATACAAAAGACAAGAAGAAACTAAAAAATAACGACGGAGGCACGCCGGCTAAGTCCTCAGTAACGGGTGGGCATCGGTTCGGAGATAAGAGTCGGTCTTCGTGCCGCAAAAAGAGTTAGATTATGCCTAAGGAATGAGATCAGGATTGGAGGGGGATGGACGAAGGAACTCACCACACAAACGTCATTGGGCCGGCTCCTAGCCATATCAGCAAGTGTGTGCAACTAAACGTGTTCATCATCCTTAGGACCCCAGTCAGGCAGTCGGGATGCCCCGACCAAGTCAAGTCAAAATAAGCTTTATGAACCCTAACGGGTTCATTTTCAGCATTTCCACCACCACTGCGAACACCTGGATGATAATAATATCAATGTAGATGCATGGGTAGAAAAGTGGGAAAAAAGCAAAATTGTTACTCCAACAAGTGCTCGAGCAGCATGTTAGGGATTTTTATTGTGTCAAGAAGCAAACGGGAGGGATAAGAGGCAAAGCAGCACTACGGTACGAGTAGAAGAGAAAGAGAGCGTTTTGGAAAAATCACAGTGAAGTGGATGAAATCGATAAGTTAGTATGTTAGAAGAAAAATCATCACAAGCATCATGATTTCTAGAAATGACCAAATCAAGCAAAGAATCTAGACAAGCCGCTGCGTCTAGAAATGTGCTTCACAGACCGCATCAATAAAATGTAGCCTTTCTGAAGCAGTTCAGGGAGAATAACAGGAGAGCGGCGCAGCCAATGGGGAATAATACAAGGGGTCACAAACCTGAATGTTAAAGCAAGAGGTACTGAAATCACAAGCCTGAGGGCATAAAAAGGAAGTTTTCTGACTTTCTGAGAAGTTATACGGAGTGCGTGAACCAAGGAAGATTCTGGGACAAAAATACGCCGAGATACTTGACGGTGGAAGAGCTGGGTATGGGATTTTTATTCACAGTAAGTGTGGGGAGAAAGCCAATAGGGACTGCAACTAATCGAAAAGTAGAAAAGAAAGTATTACATCCCTGCATTTAAAAGCATAAAGCGGAGGAGATCTAGATGAAGACTATTCCAGCAGATCTTCCAACCCACGTTGAAGTGATGAGGAACCCTGGTTACTGGAGCATACCTCCCAGCACAACATCATCGGTTTAATTACACACTATAAACGTGGTTTGCATAGGGAGACGTTCGATATCCAAGGAAAATAGAAAAGGTGATGGGATCGCTCCCTGTAGAACACTACAGCCGGTACAGAGGACAAAGAATTTCTTAACGTTCAACTTGGTGAAGTGAGTACGATCTGTAAAAAAGGCACGTAACAGATTACACACAAAAGTGAACTATATTTCCGGATAGCAGGTTTAGCAACCTTGACCTATTGATGCTTACAAACGCATTCGAATAATCCAGGAAGAGAAGCCTTACGGATTTGCAAATTTGATTTAATGCAAAGGCTAAAGAATGATCAACATATGTCACTGCATCCAATGTGAAGCGCTGGGGACTACACGCAAGTTGGTAGATAACACCTTCAGGTGCCGCTGAAAAAATCCGCGGAATTAACAGTCTTTCGAAAACTTTTAGGAGAACAGATATATTTGCAATTAGGCAATAGCTTTAGGATCCATTTCTTAAAATTGGACCGATACTAGCCGTTCTCCAAATGTCCGGGATCACACCCGTAGTGAGGCATCTGTTAAAGGCAGTGTGGAAGTATCAGCAAACTCTTTCAAAGATAATGCTGGAAGTATCAGGACCACAAGCTTTGTTCGCCTTTACTCCTTTGAATTCCTTGTCATCGTTGCTTTGATCGAAGGGCATACCTGGACTTGAGCTAATGAAGGAGGGCAAGAAAGATGAGCTTAGTGAGGCGAAACTAAACTCCGAATTCAGTTTATCCCATTCCACTTGACCTCTCTGGCTGCAAACGCTCTTACCACAGAGCTGCCTCAGAAGCCCCCATAGATCGCGACAGTTATCGTTGCCTAGAACTGCTTCGACGTATAATTGGTTCAACCTTTTTATCTCGGATTTAATTACCGTAGTTAGGCTTATGACACGGGTAGTATTCTCTCACTTGTAGGCGCATTCTTTCATCATTCGAAATCGCATTAGTAGTGGTGATGAAAACCTATCTGCTCTTTGTTAGATCGTTACAACAGGGCAACACATGTCAAATCAATACTTGATGTAGTCCGTAAGATGGTCACATTCGAGCGACAGGTCCTCGTCGTTGAAGACCGAAAAGCAGTTAAAGAAAACATCGTCTGGAGCCTCGTGATATTTTCCAAGGAGCGATTTCGCCGTTTGATAATCTTGTAAGGACTTCTGGTCAGAGTTAACAAGTTAGACCAGCTATATATGACTAGGCAGTTTTAAAATACTATGGTCTGAGCTGCTTAAAGGGGCCTGTTTTGGTACTAGAAACAACTGTCGTTTATTTGTGAACACAGCGTCCAACTGGGCATCTTGTCTGGTCGAAACAGTCACTAGGTCTACCAAGCCAAGTGTCTTCAAGAATGTTGCATCCTTTCTGTTGAAGTCGCAAGCAACAATCCAATTTAAGCAGTAGCGTCGAAGAAAGCTGGTCTTCGAAAAGCGTTAACTCTGATGCAGATGTGTCAGAAGCAATGTGTACGTTTCCAATGATGACTGATTGAAAATCACTCAGGAACTTCGGTTTGCACTCAACTAAATGACAATTTATAGAAATAGTTGAGTACTTAAATTTTGTGATTACTGCATTACACCAATGTTATAACGCCACCACCACAAAACTGGGGCTTTCAGGTGCGGTCAGTCCTGATGGGAAAATAACCATCGAGTTGAATTATCCCATTTTCCACATCAGAATGCAACCAGCCTTCCTGTAATAGAACGATTCCTGTATTACCATACTCATTTCGCTGCATAATGGCATTGAGATCACCGAGTTTACCACCAAGCGAGCAAACATTACTGGAAGGTATCAGTTGGGCTTGCGTTTTGTCCACAGAACAACGACTGAGGCCAGATTGCCAACCAGCACGATGCTTTTGCATTTTTCAGAGACATTTATTCCCAATTCATGGGAAGGTGTTCCTGACTTTATGATCTTATTCGATGAAGCACGGATTTAATGCAGTAACACGTAACGTTTTCAAATGGTTGTGGAAGTAGGACAATATGACCTTGAGACAGGAGCAGAAAAACAAACTGCTTCAAAGTTACATAAAATATAGAATCCGCAATCGGTAGTTTAAAATAATCTTCCAAGGAGAATAGCAACGACCGAATCGCAAGACCCCGCCACCAAAATGGATGGTATAGTCAGGGATAAATAGTAAGCACGTTAAGATGCAGAGGCCGGAATTTGAGAAAATGACCAATGCACTCAAGTAACGTATCCAACTCCAAACGAACACCAACTTAAGGAAGCAGGAAAACGTATAAAAACCGATGTTGAAAATTGCATTTAGCACAAATACCGAACGTTGTACACACCCAGGAAGCAGTCGCAAGTGGGCACATTCTAGAGCGATCATTTCCGGGTCAAATAGATCAAAGAAATGTAGTCTCTAAAAGGAAAATTATTGCCTATGCGAGGAAGAGATTTGTAGGGAACCGTGTAAGAAAAATTAAGCGTTCGTGCTAACGAATAAAGTGATTAATGGCACCAAACTAATGAAGATAAGGGAGAATATAGGCAGTTAAGTCAAGACCGCAAAGGACATGCCCTCCGCATGGGAATAGCTGGCTGGAGCGCACCCAGTCATATGGAAACCAAAAACAACGATGGAGCAACGGACAAACGTGGATAAATGACTCTGCGGAAATTGCCTACGGTTGTTGTATATAAGCAAAATAGTTGAAGCATTGAGCATGGGTTAATGTTGACGTGCCACCCAATTTGAAGAAATCAAGATAGGGATCACTTCACTATTTGCGGTCCACACGTTTCTCAAACCGCAATCGCAAAACCAAGCTAGCAATATCAAGCATGGGAAAGACGGTTGCGCCAAAATGTCTCACCCAACCGTTTTAGGTGAAGACTCATGCGCGGAAGCAAACATGAGAGGGCAAACGAGCCTGAGCAATTAAACAGCCGTGTAAGGAATAAGACTTTATTTTCGAGATGTTCTCATCTCTGGTTGGAAATACGGTACAGGCTGAATGCTGCATGAGCAACTAGAAAAGGGAGCAGCAGACAGACCAGAAGAATCGAGAATGGTGGGCGGAGAGCACATTCCGCACTGATGCAATGAGCCACGAGAATGCAAATCAACTTTACACGGGGGGAGGGGAAGTAGGGCAAGTAGAGTGGGCTCAAGAACCACAGTCACGCAGCCGAACACAGCAAAGTGGGTCTTGTTCGTTCGTGGAGAAGACCGCAACTGAGCCGTATGGGAATGGGTAAGTGTAGCCTCCATCAAAAACCAACTGGGCATCCAGCATCAAAGATCGGACTTGCAGACTGGAAGTAAAAAGGCGAAAATAGAGGTACAGATAATGAAAGCAGAAGACAAGGTAGCACAAATAAACTCGCAAAGGACAATGAGAAGAAAACATACTTTGTGGCGAGTCCACGCGGTTTGTCCACATTGAAGACGGCTGTGAAAGGAGCGGGAGCAGGACATAATGATGTAGTAATGAGCACTTATATGACAGAAATCTAGACAGCATTGATCCACCATGGGTCGATCAACGAATGCTCGATGGTGATCGAAAAACTTGACAGCGAATGACTTGACAAACGTGGAATTCGAAGAGGATAGAGTAAACGTGGGATGTAAAACTCGACACTTGTAATTGACATGCGCAACAAGGGAAAAGCGGCTGGTAGAGCACCTAGCAAAAAAACCACCACAGTATCACGTGACTGGTGCTGGGAAAAGACCAAAGGAAAAGTTTCAAGTACGTGCGGTGGACCGCGTATAGGTTCGTCATTTACCAGACATGCGCTGACTGGTAAAGGTTGTGTACAACTCGCGCGTACCTTCCGCGTGAATCCTGGTTGGTGGCATCCGTTATCCAGTTTTACTTGTTACGGGCATCGCCAAGGATGTGTACGCACAATGGCACCACAGGTGTCATGCGCCCAGTAGCTGGAGTTACATTCCAACACATCATATCTAGCACAGACTCAAAGGAAGAAGCCCTGAATGCATGGGGATGAGTCACGATTAATTCGTAGGCAATTCATAGTTCTTCAAGGTGCACATCGTTGGCGTAAGATGTGGGTGGCATACGTACAAAACAAAGTGTACCTGGTGGTCGTCGCTGGGCATTAGTGCATTCCAGAATGGATGTAACCTTTCATCCTGGCATGATCTTCAAGACTGAGCACTCCGTCAGCTGCAGTAACAACTGACAGTCTTCTGTATCCAGTAATCTAGGCAGCGGAATCGGGTGAAGAGCTAAGGTGTGTGATTAACTCATCAAGTAACCCACACCTAAAACTTCGAGGATGTCGATTGTTCACATACTGCAAAGATGGGAGACAGGAAACACTTAAGTGTCGATAGCTATGGAAATTGGGTGTTGCCCGCCCGGAAACACTGCACACAACTTTAAAAGAATCCTCCAATCTCTCGATAGCTATGTTGAAAACCTTGTCCAGAAACAATGGCCGTAACACAGAAATGGTTGATAACGGCCGAAAAAAGTTAATACAAGAAACACAGCATTTGTCGACAACACTTCATTGACTAAGGACGGGTTTCTCAGCTATGCATTCAAGGTATATATTGATGGCGTGTAACTGTCCTTGTTGAATATTTGAAGCAATGATGTATAACTTGTTTGGTGACGCGCAGACGTCACATCGGGAAACCAACGGTGTTCCACTCCCCGACATCAGTAGCAGACATTTGTGTTCTCGTCTGAGTCTAGACTTGTGCATTTTGTTTCTGGTGGACTGTAACGTGCATGATACCACAACATTCTCACAAAATTCATTTCTTGTTGAGTACCACAGAAATCTTGCTGCCTCAAATGCGGTACGAATAACTAGATTGTAACGAATTTTTGGGTTAGGTAGCTGCTTTTACTCCGCGAGTTTTAGAAGTTACCCAAATCTTCTAAGTGATACGTCGCTCACGCCTCCATTTAGCGCGTACAAAGCACCCGCATTAACATAACAGAGATGTGAAATGTTTAACACTTCGATCACATGTAAAACACACCACCATAAGGAACTTCGACAACGGAGAAGACCGTTGAAGAATCGCCGCTGATAGAGGTGCTAACCTAGTGAGAAACGACATTTCAGGGATGCAAGCGAAGCAGTGCAACTGCATAAATCTGGGTGTTTGTCGTTCAAGAAGTGTGCCCCAATGCATTAGCCATGTACAACAAGACCTGGGAGAAAGTACAATCTCAAAAATAGAGTCATTATTCCAACGAGAAAGTAATTCGGGCCAACGGTGTACAGCCGAAGCATCGAGTCGTTTCAGGAACCTTCGCAACTGCCACATGACGCGCATACCTACCTTCTCATTGATTAGCGGAAATGAAGTCACAGTCAAAGCAGTTCTTCTGGAACATGAATATTCTTGGGTTAGCCCATAAATATCCGTGCAATGCGGTAGCTGTTTCTGCAACACACTTTCCGGTTCAACAAGAGGCGTATCCAAGGAATGACGAAAGAAAAATCTAGTAAAACAATGAACTTCTCCGCAGAAGACTTCAAATGCCGCTATGGCAACGGTAAGTAAAAATGAAACTGATTGAAACGTTGACGCAGCACCTCAGTCAGCAGCCTACAGAAACAGCTTCGTGGGACAGTCAGGCAAGTTCTAGTAACCTGTTCTCCAACTCCATCACCGAATTCAATTACGATACAGGTTCTGGATACACTTTCGATGCGTGATTCAAATGCTGTGTGGATAGGTTTAGGACAAATTTCAACAGTCAGAATGACCTTTGAAAATGACTGTTGCTCCGCAAACCTGGTGCAAATGAACAATCAAGATGCTTTGATCAAATACAACGAGAAAAGCCAAAAGACTTTAAAGTAGACAAAGCAGTGTTACAGCTCAGTGAAAGTTCCCGTAATCCGCCATAACTGTTCAGTATTTAATGTCAGTGACGGAAAATCGTAAAGAGGACCAGAAGCGACTACTGAGTACCATAAGACAGTCGACCGTAAGTGGATGGATGATCAATACGAGTGTTTCATATTTGCCGGTGCCTTACGGTCCCCGTAGGATGCCGAGATCAGGACAAGAATAAACTAGAAGTTGGATCAAGACGCAGACACTAGGCTGAAGTCAATTACGGTCGAATACAAGCGATTGCTATCTGGAAACAGGAGAGTGTTATGGTCAATGAGGACTATTCCGCAAGATAGCGAGATGTCTGTTGTGAAAAATTCCGAGCGAAATAGGTCTGTGATTCCGTTTAGAAGCTACAGAACAGACCGCCTACTGTCTGCTGGTCATGCTGAGAGTGGTAATTGGCTCGATTCTGTTCATTCAAGAAGCGCGTTTGCACAATCCACATCGCTGGAGGGCAGAATTAAAACCGAAGCTCTGACACTGCTTGATTTCTACGTGCAGTCTCAACGGATCGCGGACTATTATATACCATTTAATCTCGCTTTGAGTTCTCTTTCCATAATCGGAAAAAGTGCTGAAGGATATCTGACGGTAATTGCAAAAATTGCAAAATCTTTCAATTCACTCTGTGCTCTGCCCTGTAGTGAATTTTTCCTTACGCATCTCAACGTACACAAACCAAATTCCAATCATTCGACTCGGAATTATCAGCTTCATCCAACAACCACTTGGCCAAGTCCAAACCATCGCAATCTACAACTCTTTGCGGTATTTGGAGCCATATTTCCGAATACGGCCAGCAAACCTGCTTTCCCACTATCGGACCCTAACTCCAGCCTGCGGACATCCCGCCGACAACCGACAGCATCGATCAATAAATGCAAGTTTTCTGTTGTCCCAAAGCCACTCGACCTAGCGTGCGGGTCACAACGTATGAGAGAATTACCTTAAAGTCACATTGTTATCTACTATCTGCCCAGGAGCGTACTCCATAGACCCGTGGAAATAGACAAGCAAACGAGACTAACGAACAAGCCGCGCAGGTGACAGAGAAACCGAAGAACTGGCCCATCAACGAAAACAACCAGGAATTTAAACCGGTTGGTTTGCACCACTTATAGTAGTAAAAACTGGGTCATTTATGTTCTCCGTCGTACTCAATCTTAACGCTTATTAGCCGTACGCTCAAGGCCTCAACACTCTTCCGAGTATCCGCTAGAAATGTTTGTGAGCAATGTGAAAACGAGAAGCTCCCTCTTAGGGTGAAGTTGAAAACAGAAAAGACTATGGAACCCCTTAATACCACTGCTATAAATCGACTCATTATTACCGTAAAAAAGAGGCGTTCCTCAGCTGAATTCCAAAAAATTGGATGCAGCTGAAAACCAATCCAACTTTACTACTACCATCCGGCCTGAAGCGACAAATCGGCTTATAGCGCTTGAGGAAGAAGTAGCCAAGCTGGAATACAAAATTCCCGAATTCAACCCGAATTATGAACAACTTGTATCATTATGTGAAGTGCTTAAAGGTTCGGCAAATGTTACACCAAACCGATTGTGCACGGCTGGTTCCTTAGTAAACTCAATTGCATCCGAAACGCAAGAAAGCCTCCGTAGATCGCATAACGTTATCATTTTTAACGTGCCTGGTAAACCAAACATTGACAAAGTAAGAGATAGCCCTTTATAAACATATAATATGGATGGAGTCTCCTGTCAATGCCTCAGACTGAGAGAAAAAGGCAAACATGACCACGTGGCCGACACTCCTACAGTTTCCAGACGATAGGAGTGCAGCAACATTCGTACGCAGTAGAAGACTAGTTATCGCAAAAACTTACTTCAAAAACATCATGTTCAAACACGATCAAACGCCTCCTCAAAGGCGACTAATAATGAACCAAAATCCCTCCGCCCATCGTACATCCCATGCTCCTACTATTGAAGCCAGTACTGACGCTGTCATCCGCAAGGTCGACCTTGATAAGTCAACCACATTGTTTAAAATAGGCGATGACTAGCATCCCAATCTTCAGTGGCTTCATGAGAGAGTCTCAAACAGTATTACTGATGTGTCTCTACCTAAAAATGCCAACCAAAATATAACGAATCAGGAGACATGTGCTGCTGTGGCCGTTTTCCAAGCCACGAGCCTTTACAAAAAATGACAGTAGCTGTGCCTGTGACCTATCGAGAGTGACACAAAAACTCAGATCGTCACGTTGACCTCACGAAAAACCAACTTAACTCTGACTAACCGAGGAGTACGCAAAAACAGAGGAAAACACCCTCCCAGAAACACTCAAAGCTCAGCAGATCTGAAGCGACCACCACAAGAACGCAGAGCTAGGCCAAATGAGAAAATGTGTACGTCTTCAGGCTTCGACATGCAACACCGACACTGTTGTCGGGATACGTCGCAGAGAGCCGACCTGGTACTTACCCAAAATGCCTCGATACGAATCCAAATCCCGCAACCTCAAGCTGGCAAAACCCTTATGTGTGCGACACCGAAATAGCAAACAAAATGGTGGTAGGCCACACGGACTTA